ACACACACACACACACACACACACATCACTCGCATTCATTCACATTAGCAACATAAACAGACACCCTGGGCCCGTATCACACGCACGTCTTGCCACTTAGCGCCGCCTCACTAAACATACGTACATAAATACATACATGCACACACATATACGTGCACTCACTCACATACATGCACGCAAGCATACGCGTACATAAAAACAAATACATACACACACGTACACGCGCATAAACTCATACTACATGTACATGCACGCAGATACGCTTAAAAGCAGAAATGCATATTTGCTTAAATAACATACTAAGCTTGACGAAATTTGTCTTGTTAGCTGCTTTAATGTCGTGCGCAATTCGTCACGGTTACGTCACACCGACGAAACCAAACATTTACCATGGCGAGCAGGAAATCGCAACATAATCCGCATGATTTTTAATCGAGTAAGTCGGGACGAGTTTTGCTCAGATTATATGGCGGACTTTTTAGACAGCTAATCCTTTTCAGTATTCTGAATTCATTGTTATTATAATTTCTGGCCCTTAATGCTGTCATAAAACAGTAATAGACACGCTGGGCTTCGACAAGAAGATTAACTCAAAATCGATTCCGCCGTATGAAGTTTCACCCGCTAGCTAAAGCTGCGTACCTGGAATACCTCGGACAGCTTTTTGTTCTCGAACTGTTTAGCTGACAACTCTTCCATTTGCTTTGACCCGTATTGCATCGTTGTATGCTAACAAACGGTGATTCTGTGGTTCGCAGCTTTTTTGATCGGAGAACGAAATTTCCTCCAAGTAGTGCTTTAAAATGCCAAGCATCAGGAAACTGCTAATTTGATGAACATCCAGACTGCGGGCGATCAGTAGATGTATAAGCATTAACACACAGGGATCCATCACAATCTACTCAGATAGGTCGAGCACATCATATATTTCAAGGGCTAATCGAACCTCTCGTCTTCATATTCGAACTCAAATTGCTTACCATTGCACTACTTGTCCTTACGTTCCATTACCAGCTATGAGCATTCTTTTTTTGAAACTTCCTCTTTTAAGACAGTGTACATCGTTCTAAGATTGCGACACTTCCTTTGCCGGCTTTTCATTTTCGAGTTATGATTTCATCCGATTCGGAACTGAATTTTTTAATACTTTTACGAAATAATTATCTCTGCACATTGTTTTTCTAATTGTAGATAAAACAATGACTGGCAGAATACTAAGTCTTGCGGTTACCATTCTCGGAACACTGATTACGGTATATGGCAACGATACGGTGAGCATTTGCTACAACTAAAGTTCATTTTCTTCTGCGAAATAGAGCACGGGGCAAACAAGTATTGTAATTTTGTTCGCTTGGCGAGATTTTAGAATCAAATCAGTTGCATATTTTAAAAATTCTTATTATCAGTTTCAACTCGTCACTTTCTGCTATTTCTGCTAATTTTGCACTAAATGGCAAGCAAATTTCACAGTCTGGGAAGAAAATAGGACTTACTTACGCCAAAACGCTGAAACAACCACTGGAAAGACAGAAATTACAGCATCATTCTTTGGCTTACAAAACGGTGTATGCATACTTTTTAGTTCTTAACGGAACAAATAGAGAAGGTTGAAAGACGAAGTACCAAAATTTAATATCGAATGCTGGGATTTGCATAAGATGAAACAAGCTTGTGCGCATGATTTCGTACGTTAAAACACCAAAGGACCTGAAAGTTCCTTCTACAGTTGCATATATTAAAAGGCTGCGATCCTAAAATTCCAGCTTCCTAGGTTCCATAATTCTGAATGGACAGTCAGGCCGATGCACACAGACATGGTCTGAACATTACAAGTTTGTTCCTACGTAAAAAAATGGTGGCGCGCGCAGGAAACAGGCCCGAGCATTAGCTTTTGCTTTAGCGCTTGTTTTCCTTAACTTTTTGTACGCCCTTCGATGTATTTTGATATAAAATGTTTCTAGAACTGTGCTCGGAATAGGGAAAACATCCAAAGTTGTTAATTTATTTGCTCTTAAAACGATTCGAAAATTTCTTTACTGTGCTGCAACAAGAAAGAATCTGTTTATCAAGTTTTTTCAAATTTTTAACCTTTTCAAGTGATCAGCTGACAGTCTTATTCCAGGATGTCTATTCGGCGAATATGCTCGACAGAAATCTTGTAAAAATGGAAGTGGAAGAAAGCATGGCTGTTCCTACAGCAACAAAAATAAAAGATCAAGGCTATTCGGGAATGGCTATTAAATCCGAGGACATTCTTGGCATCAAGAAGGAAAGCGAGGAGTCGTGCGAGTTGAAAGTCAAGACCGAGGCGTTGTCGGACATCGAGGAAGAATATCCAGAACATTTGGAAATGAAATTTGAAATTGACCAG